GGACCTCAGCTTGCCATATAGTCTTGTTTATCCGTTCACCAGCACAGCTCTCAGGTTCTGCAACAAGAATTCCATCATCAGTGAGTTGAGGTGGAAGGGCTACTAGGGTCAAAGTGGTGCCCAGGTTTGGTTTGACCTAAGAGACATGAAAGGTGGACGGCGAGGGGCTGCGATACGGGCATGATGAGTGTTCGGGTCACGTATCGACACGCACCCGGTCTGGTAATGGTAGCACTTTCCTAGCGGAAAGAGAGCATCGGCATGGCCTCGGGGTGCCTCGATGAGTGTCTCAATCCAGACTACAGTGACGCCTAGATAGGGCATCAGCATGGCCTCGGGGTGCCTCGATGATGCCTTGACACGACATTAACACGAGGTAACGGGTCACGAAGTGGAACGTGCCACGCTACGATAAGGCAGCGAGCCGCGCCACATGAAGGTACCGTGCCGCGCCATGATAGGAGATCGTGCCACATGAAGGTATCGTGTCGCGGATCGATGGACATCATTGCCACGTCTCGAGAGGGCCCGATATGGTTCGGTGACGCCTCAACAGCGCCGCGGTGGAGTGTGTGTGTTAGTATAGATCGTACCGCAACTCGAAAGTGAATCGAGATGGTACGTCGGCAAAGTCTCGATATGGGTAGCAAGGGCGTATCGACGTAGACTCGATACATATCCGACATAAGCTATACCATGGATTCACAGGACCTTGGTAGAGAGAGACGAAGGTGCGGTGGCAGAGCATCTACTCGGACAGCAGAGGGTCTGACTATGGACTCGTAGGTGAAGTCGAACACATAGTTTGACAAGATCTGGGACCTTGACAAGTTACCTAGACCTATTCACGTTGGGCTATTTGTTAGGATACACGCGCTAAGGGTATTCCGGGCGTGAGATTTTACCTTAGTCTCGAGGAAGCTTGGCATGGCTTCGACCAATGTCGAGGGTGACTCGTTGTTTGGTGATTACGGGAAAGAGCTCCAAAGAGAGTTTATGTGCCGGATCACATTTCATACTACCTTGGGCCGAATGAGAAGTTAGTTCAGGAAGCTGAAAGGTAGAAAGACTAACTGGTAGTTAAACCTTGGATAGAGCTATGGTAGAGCTACCGCTCCATGGAAGTAATTCTACCTGATGGTTCGCTTGTTTGTAGGATCCGGCAGTCTATTAGAGATTGTTGTGAACCGAGCAGGTAGCTACTAGGATGGCCTAATGGTTATACTACTGCTACCTTAGCTAACCCGAAGCATGGTTTCAAGCAAGGTCTAGCAAGAGAGAGTCAGAGAGGTTTGACGAACTCGAGTTAGATGGCTTACAACCAAGGGGATAGAGGATAGACATGAGGTCGCTTGGACTGTCCACGGTACAAGTTGGTATCATGAGCTATCCACAATTAACGATAATCTTATGTCTGTACTTCTGCAGGGACGGCTGCTGTATGGCCAAAGATGTGTCATGGATAACGTATTGGGATAGCCATGCTTACTTGGGGCCGACCATACGGGGCAACGATATTGTTTGAGATGCTTCGGCTATTGCTTGAGAACGTAGAAGAGTGGATTAGGTTAAAATGGGGTAGACATTGATTGTGAACCTTAGGGAGTCTAGAGTAGAATACATACAAATTGGTAGGATAATAGGTTCATAATGCCACCTTTAATTACTGCATAGATGCATGTGTATGGGCGCACATCATCAACTTGTTTATGTTTGGCCTAAAAAAGTGGCACGAACACCTGGCAGACATAAAGGGCTGGCCGAGAAGGCCCAAGAGGGGTCAGAGTGGTACTATGAATGTATCTGGTGGGACACCTTCGTACTACTATAAGTGTTGGTAACTAGAAGGTAGCTAGTGGGCTTGCCTAGTTACGTTGATGTGTATGTGTGGTGAAAACTAGCAAGCAGTGGGCTTGCCTTGTAACGCCCATGAACCAAAATTGAGAATTTTGGAAGGTTGATTTGAACCGGTTGGTTCGATTTAATCGCCGGTTTGGCTGGTTTGGGTTAAGAGAACCTTAGGGCTCGTGTTTAAAAGGGAGNAGCCTCTGTTTTGTGCAGAGATAACGTGAAAAAGGCTGAGAAATTGGAAGAGGAGAGAAAAGGAGAAAGAGGTGAACCGCCGTGCCTATAAAGGAGATGATGACTGTTCTGACCGTTCTAGAATAATAGAGGAAAGGACAGACTAATTAGGTATGATTGGAGTGAAACTTCTAGGGTAAGTTCTCCACTCTCATATCTAGCTTTGGGCGAAATCGGTTTGTCAATTGGATTAGTATTATGAGAGTTATTGTAACGCCCGTGAACCAAAAAGTAGATTTTTGGTTGGTACGTCGATCGACACACACTCTTTGTGTTGATCGACGCAACGCCCAGAACATGACTTCTCACAAGTCCAAAACACGTGTGTCGACTGACACACTCACCCTGTGTCGATCGACGCACCAACCAAAAATCCACTCCAGGAGTGCAGCCGGGTGTGGCTGGTGTTCA